GCTGGTTTCCCCCATTACCATTTCCAATCAACAAAACCGACCCAAGACCAGGCCCTCTCGTTTCCCTAATTGCCAATTAATATTGAATTGCACACGCTAGGTCAGAACGAAACTACGGTTACGGGGCCTGCCTGGCTTTCTTACAAATGCACTGCGTGGAATGCAACCTCACCGGAACGAAGGGAGGAGTCGTTTGGACACAGAGGTGAACATAGCGAGCTCTATGGGATACGGGGAGATCTCTGAGCATTGCATCGGATCCGTTCTTCTCAAGTCTGAGACATGCACAGGAATTTAACGGCAGAGAAATTACTGTCGATCCGCAGGCTATTATTTGTTTCGACGACGTGCTGGTCAGGCCTCAGCTGGAGTCTTGTGTCCAGTTCTGGGCGCCGCATTTCAGGAAAGATGTGGAGAAATTGGAAAAAGTCCAGAGAAGAGCAACACAAACAAGGAAAGGTCTAGAGAACATGAGCTACGAGAGAAGGCTGAAAGAATTGGGCTTGTTTAGGTTGGAAAAGAGAAGACTGAGGGGACACGAGAGCAGCTTTCAAGCACTTCAATGGGTGTTACAAGGAAGAGAGAGAAAAATTGTTCTCCTTGGCCTCTGAGGACAGGACAAGCAGCAATGGGCTTAAACTGCAGCAAGGGAGGTTTAAGTTGGACATTAGGAAAATCTTCCTTCCTGTCAAGGTGGTTACACACTGGAATATGTTACCTAGGGAGGAGAAATCTTCATCTCTGGAGAGATTTAAGAGCAGGAAGGCAAACACCTGGAAGGAGTGGTCTAACCATTACTTAGCGCTGCCATGAGCCCAGGGGACGGGACTAGATGACTTTCTGATGTTCTATCCAGTCCTATGGGTCTGACTCAAGGAAGCCAATTAAAATGCTAATTACATTTCTAGGAGAGATGTAAAGCGAGGACCAAGGTTCTATTAAAACCCATTCTAACTGACATTTCCAAATTAGCCAACAAAAAAAATCATTGTACAGAATCCCACCGTCCCTCAAACGGCTACGCGCCGGGAGAGAGGCCGGCGTCAAGGTTCACGCGGCTCAGACTTACGTGGGATTTCGTTGAAAGGATCTTATTCACGACCTGGAAAATGGGGCGAGCCGCATGGTGGCAAAACCCAGCTGTGAGACGATGTGAGTTAGAGACATAGATTCCAAGGCCAGACGGGCCCGCGGGGCTCCTCCTGGCTGCCCCGTCACACACACCTGCCTCCAAATGAGTCCTAGAGCAGGACTTGTAGAAACATGTCCAGTCTTCACAGGAGAGCTGTAAGTGGGAGAGGACCCAACGCAAGCCCTGGGCCATTACCCCAGGGGTTCGTTACTCTCACCATTAATCCTTCGTGCCGTTTAGGGTACAGAGCAGAGAAAACGAAGGGTGGAACCTGGCTGGGTGAGGGGGAAACGCAATGGAAGAGCAAATGTAAACTAGGACGTGCCCAGCGCTGGCACTGGAAGGAACAATGTGAACCACTCAGGCACCAAAGCCAGCTGCACTCACTCAGCGAAAGGCCCGGGGTGTCCGTGTGGACGGCTGGCCGGCCAGAGCTGTGCAAACAGCGACGACGCAGGGGTTTGGAACGGGTCCCATATGAGGAGAGGTTAAAGCGACTGGGACTTTTCAGTTTAGAAAAGAGGAGACTGAGGGGGGATATGATAGAGGTCTATAAAATCATGAGTGGTGTGGAGAGGGCTGATAAAGAAAAGTTATTTATTACTTCCCATAATAGAAGAACTAGAGGACACCAAATGAAATTAATGGGTAGCAGGTTTAAAACTCATAAAAGAAAGTTCTTCTTCACACAGCGTGTAGTCAACCTGTGGAACTCCTTGCCAGAGGAGGCTGTGAAGGCTAGGACTAGAACAGAGTTTAAAGAGAAGCTAGATAATTTCATGGAGGTTAGGTCCATAAAAGGCTATTAGCCAGGGGATAAAATGGTGTCCTTGGCCTCTGTTTGTCAGAGGCTGGAGAGGGATGGCAGGAGACAAATCGCTTGATCATTGTCTTCGGTCCACCCCCTCCGGGGCACCTGGTGCTGGCCACTGTGGGCAGACAGGATACTGGGCTAAATGGACCTTTGGTCTGACCCAGTACGGCCGTTCCTATGTTAGAACCTCCAAGTGATGGATACCAAGAGCTGGTCAGGCCAAGCAGGTGTGCGCACAATCGGACACAACCAGGCAGCAGTAGAGCCAAAATTGCCCTCATACTGTTCAGTACAGGACGGCGTGAGGGATAAGTTACTGCAGCGCTAAAGGGAAAGGTTCCAGAATGGTTTGCCAAGGTGCGGGAGCTGTCGCCGGTTTCATTTACACGGCGAGGGCCAAAAGCAGCGTTTGCCTTCTGCGCTGCCAAGTTTCAAAGCTGTGTGACGGCAATGTGCGGTGGTCAGCTTTAGGAAGGGCGACCGTACTGTTTGGTTCAGCGTTAGGAACACCCCCCATTCCCGAGGTGTTCGTAACTCTGAGGTTCTACGGCATTGCAATTCACCGGCCGTTTTTAACAGTCCAAACCACGCATTTCGGGCGGAACAAATTATTCCATTGCCGTTTCAACCACTGTGATGTTTTCAATGTACAGAAACCATGAAAAGTCGTTTCAAACTGAAAACATTGAAGAGACCGGTTGGACCTCCAAAAACTGGGGCTCGCTTGGCCATCAGGACCACAGCTGTTCCTGGACCACGGAGTCCTGGCTGGGGACACCGGGGGCAAGCGGGCTGGCGCCCTGGTAAATTATTCCATTGCCGTTTCAACCACTGTGATGTTTTCAATGTACAGAAACCATGAAAAGTCGTTTCAAACTGAAAACATTGAAGAGACCGGTTGGACCTCCAAAAACTGGGGCTCGCTTGGCCATCAGGACCACAGCTGTTCCTGGACCACGGAGTCCTGGCTGGGGACACCGGGGGCAAGCGGGCTGGCGCCCTGGTAGTGGCCCCGGGGATGCAGCAATCCCAGTAGCAGAGGTGGGGCTGGGGACACGACAGCCCCATTAGCAGGGCTGGGGCTGTAGCAGCACAGCAGCCTGGCGGAGGAGGGAGGGGGGGTTAGGGCTGGCAGTGGGGAGGGGAGGTGGGCTGGGGGGGCCGGTAGCGGAAAAAGAGGTGGGGCTGGGGACACGACAGCCCCATTAGCAGGGCTGGGGCTGTAGCAGCACAGCAGCCTGGCGGAGGAGGGAGGGGGGGTTAGGGCTGGCAGTGGGGAGGGGAGGTGGGCTGGGGGGGCCGGTAGCGGGGTGGTTGGCTGCGGAAAGTCTGTGTGGAGCGGAGTGGGCCACGGGCCAGAGAGTTTGAACCAAGCGGGGATGTGACAGAGGGGACAGAATAGAGGCGGGCCCAAGGGGAAGTGACCGTTCAGTGTTACACGAGAGGGGATGTCAATTCTGCTTTAGGGCACATGCCCTTTGGGGGGGGGCGTTCCTTGAGCTCGCTGGAACACCCCTTTTCTGCCACTGGAAACGCAGCCATGGGCCGGAGGAAGAGGGGAAAACTTTCTTCCAGCACTGCCCACCAGGGGGCGCTCCGCACCTCTCTGGGACGCCGGCGGGCAGGAGCCGCACACGCAGACCAGACACGCGAAGGACGTACGCACACGTGTGTCTCTTTGGGGGGGGGCGTTCCTTGAGCTCGCTGGAACACCCCTTTTCTGCCACTGGAAACGCAGCCATGGGCCGGAGGAAGAGGGGAAAACTTTCTTCCAGCACTGCCCACCAGGGGGCGCTCCGCACCTCTCTGGGACGCCGGCGGGCAGGAGCCGCACACGCAGACCAGACACGCGAAGGACGTACGCACACGTGTGTCTGAACTAACAGGCCCGTATGCCCCCAGCAGCCCGACTGGATCAGCCGGCTAGGCCGTTCACGGAGCACCCGCCCCCAGCCCCCACGGGCTAATTCCGGCCCTGCCCCTCCCGTCACACAGGGCGGATAACACTCAGTCATCTGGGGAGGGGGCAATTCGGGGGCTGGGTTAAATCCGATTTACGTCTTCACATCGTAAGACATTTTTCTTTGAACAGACACAGCTGTTGGAAAGGAAATCTGAACATCTGAGTGTTAAGGGACCCAGCCTATTAGCATCTCTTCCACTATTCAACTCCAAATATCACCGCGTAACCGCGAGCCTCTATCAGAAAGCGAGCGCCGACGGGAGCTTGGCCACATAACGAATCCAGGAACACATCGAACTT